TGTCATGTATTGGTCATGCCATGTTGGCTACCCTGCAAACCTGCAAACTGCTGTCTATAAATATCTGTGCTCATCGTGCCAATAAACCAGTTGAAGCTAAACCTACGAGACTTGTCCTCAACATCCCCGAACCTTCGGAACACGACATCTCCACGTCCATTTATAGGGTAGTAAGAGCTTTTCGATTGCTACAACTGTATGACTGCCCCCCCTCCCCTCTCCCACCAAATCCGCGACGGTACCTTTGCAGTAGTACCGCTTTGCTGGTGGAGCGTAGTGCAGGAAAAAAGGGGGGTGGCACCCCTGCGGCACACTCCTGTCCGTGTGTACCTCTCCTCGGGAACACACTAACGCTTGCCTAGGGCAAGAAGGTGGGGGTGGTGGTTGCGGAGTTCAAAGGCCACCCACTCTCGTGCTCGTGTTGCGTAGGGCCAACGGGACACTACCAACAGTTCTCATGCACGTCCTAAAGCAAAGTTATAGGATTCAGAACGAAAAATCAAAGTTAGTCCAGAGGCAGTGCACAAAAAACAAAAAAGAGCAAGTGGCGTGCCCATGCCCATGGTAACGCCTATGGTTGTGTTAAACTCTATGGTGATCACTCTTAAGTGTTGAACTAGAAATACTTCAAAGAGTTCAAAAGTTACGTTGGGCACTTCAAAGTGTCCGAAGATTTGCGGAGAACTCAGAAGTTATAAATACTTCTGACTTAACTGTTCTAGGTGTTTAACTTTGCCAGTGACTTCGACTTGGGAATATCCCTTATTGGCTCGACAGGCACAACTACTGCATCTCATAAGAACAATAGGAATGTTCTGTTCTACGCATACTCGCATGGAACCCCCGACGTACTCGAGTGCAAACGCTTTTGCCTCCAGAAAGGGCTTGCCCTTCTTCTCTCTCTCTCTCACGATGTCTCTCCCTCTTCCACTCTCGTGATGACGCGCATCATATGCGACCTTCCGCCAGAACGATCAGGAATGCCGCCATAAAAATTGGACAAGAAGACGTGTATCGCATCATCTCATCGATGGAACGCATCGCATGATGGTTCCGCAGCACTTGCGCGACAGTGCTGGGCGAGAAAGGCACGGCCGGGGGTGAGGAGGCAGCATGCTCTGCAGCTGTGGTCGGGTCGCAGCTATGCTCGCCTTGCTCGCGCCAGCTGGCGGGAAACGTTTCATTCTTTAAATGAAGGGACAGTGTTCCATCCCCCCGGTCTTGTCCCCCCTTTCTCTTCCACCACGGCTACCAACCTCCATCACCACTACCACCACCATCGCCCCTTCCGCCCCACCCCTCCTTAACTCCTGCCCGCGCTTTGCATTTCATTGCAGCTGGTCGGCGTGGCCCGGCCCCGGCCCACAGATGTGCCCCAGTGCTCCCGCCGACAAGCCGCACGAGGTTCAAACTCCACCAGCTGTCCTCCCAAAGTGTCACGGACATTTTATTCGTGGGGATGAAGCGATCGTGCTTCTTTCGGCATACCCCGTCATTGTTAACAAAACACACAAAAAACAAAA